TATGGTTCGATTGACAGAGGAGTGGGGAACGGTCAGACGTAGGGGAAAGGTTCAGGCTGAACCGTTCAGCACAGCGCAGCGTCAGTCACCGGGTGGGGAAGAGAGTCCGGGAGGGGACACTTCCCCTCGAGTGAAATAGAAAAAGGCAGAATCCTTCGAAGTTTATATTAATGATTATTTTCTTAATTATCTTAGGGAATTAATAAAAAGTTTCAAAACGTTATGTTATTTGATTATCTTGTGAAAAAATGAAACATGAGGAAAAATTAGGTCTTGTGAAATGTAGTTAAGCTAATTAGACTGCATTTTACAACGAGGAGCTACAATTTCTGGCATATGAATAGAAACACCTATCTGCGAGGGGAAACTAATTGCACATACGTTCTTTCTAAAATAAGGCAGGAATTTTAGTTCCTAATTGTAAAATGTGGCCCAATTTTGATAAATCCATAGTTAAATGGACCACATTTTGCAATTATTATTTTATTATTTTATTTTATTTATTTTTTTTTTATTATTTTTATTTTATTTTTTATTATTATATTATTTGTTTTTGCTATAGTTGCTGGTTCATTTGTAAAAACACTTAGCGCATAAGGAAACAAATGGCACATACGCTGTCTCTTAACTGATCCAGAAATTGTAGTTCTTAATTGCAAAATGTAGTTTAAATAGTAGATGAGCAATCTCGGCGTTCTTTGTTTTCAGGATCTTTGGAACTTAACTACGAGATCGTGTAACAAGATCTTCAAGGGTCAATATTTGACTAGCCCAGGGACCATGTTATCATGTGAGTATTGCCTTTTCGAAGGCCTCATGCTTTACGCTGAGGTCTCGTTGAAGTTGACAGGCCAGGCCCAGCGCAGGGGTGCGAAATCGTAGTCCCACGTGTCCACTTGGCCGATGTGCGGGGAGTTCCTGATGAAGCTCGTGGACCAGCTGAAGGGTTCGACCACCCTGTCCGGTGCCCAGGGGGGGCCCGCGGCGACTCGGAAATCGAACTCGCTGGAAACCACCTTTGTGTCGATTAGTCCGTTGTAGTCCACGTTCGAGCCTACGTCATCCATAGCGCCCCCTCCGATCATGAGCGCCAGCCGACCCGAGATTTGCAACGACAGATCCACCGTTTGCTCGGAATCGGATCTGCTGTCCTCACCGTTGCTGTCGATCTGCATCGTTTCTTCGTCATCACTGTCCTCCATCCCCGACGACTCACTCTGGTTATTCCGTACTGCGCTGCTTATTGTAGGTTCAGACTTGTTTCCGTTGTTTAAACTTTCGTCGGATCCATCATCACGACTTCGAGATCCTTGAGGCTCGGGAATTTGCGGCTTTGATTTGATATTTCTTTTTCTCAAATCCTTTTCGATACTCACACTGTCGATTTGCTCGGAGGAACCGACGAGTTTGACTAACAATTCTTGAGCCTCAGGATTTAATCTCGCAGAGATGTCGTCATTTTCTGCAGGAATCCTCGATCTGTCAGAGACTTCTTTGTTGGTGCGCATGGCTCGATCTAAAATTTCATGAATTTCCCGAGAAAGCTCTAAAGAATCAGTTACTTTTGGTCTTCGTGGCTTCGGAGGCTGTATTGTAGGCACGGCTACGTCCTTGTGCGCATTTCCTGCGTTGTCATCTGCTGGCTTATCTGTTTGTGCCTTTTCTTCGTTCTTGTTATCTCGAGACTCTCCAGAGGAATCATCGAGGATCTTAGATCCCTGTTGCCGTGGCTCTATCCGCAAATCCCTCGTTTTATTGGAGACTTGTTTCGGCTCTTGGTTTTTATCGCTGTTTCCCCCAATTGGACTGGCCGCATCGTTACCATTTTCAAAAACGTCTTCACTAGAACCATTCACTATTGTCTGTGTGCCTTTGATCTGGATAGTCAGCTGTACTTCACTAACATTCGACGTCTTCTCATACGTCCACTCTGAATCCAGTTCGTTTTGGGCAGGATCTTTACGGCTCAGAATAACCCTTTCTTCAGACTCATCCTTCATTCTTCGTTGATCACCAGCACTGGTGGATTCAGGATTGCTCTTCGTCGCGTTTTCACCGATGACCGCTTTATTTGAGGCTCGGTCGATAGGATCTCGGCTGTTAGCACCGGTGGGACCAAGTATGATTTTCAAGAGGCTAGCAGTATCAGAAGACTCGTGACTTTCCTTCGTAAGATTGCGCAGGTCATTTGTAGTATTCATGAGGTTATAACCAACGATACTCTTCACCAGATTGGCAGCCAAAGCTGGTTCAAGGTTCTTCAGCGTGAGGTTGGCGGAGGTGTCGATAACGTGCGTCAGGTTTGAGGTGCTGGAAGTTTCGTTCGATGCGTTGGTGGGGAGGCTGTTGATAAGAGTGAGGGTGTCGTTGGCGAGATGTTCTTTTTCTTCGGGGTGGAGTTGGCCGAGGAGGCTGTAGAACAGGGCGGAATCGCGAACGCCGAGGAGGTCGCTGCGGCCCACGATGGAGACATCGGGGTTCCTCAACATGGTCATGAGGGAGGTCAGGTCGGACACGTTGGCTTGGCCTTGGATCAGCGTGTCCGCGGCGGGGTTGACATCGCTTAGTTCTGGGACTGGAACACTTCCGTCGAGTGTCACCTTCGTCGAGTTATCGGTGGAAAGCTCCGCAACCTTACTGATCGACTGCAGCTCCTGCAAAAGCAAGCGAGTAGGTAAGAAGTGGCGATACCTTATGAAATGAAGGCTGAAATAACCCATTGAATGACGCACTGGATACTACGTGCACCAACCTTCCTAGTCCAGTACACAGAGAAAAAAACTTGGTGCGTGGGACCCAAAGTTGAGGTCATATGGATCATTGAAGTTTTCGGATCACGTATCTAAGAACTTGGGGTTCAGCTGCCGAAGTTCGGGTCAGACATCTGAGGTACTTCGATGTATAGTGAAAGGGTATTCGGGTCACACATCTGCGGTTCTCCGGTACATACCGAAAGTGCCTCGATGTCTGACCCGAACTTCGGCAGTTTTCGGATGCGTGATCAGAAAACTTCAGAGATCCATATGACCTTAACTTTGGGTCCCATGCACGAAGTTTTTTTCTCCGTGTACCAAGAGAACTCAAAAGGGGGCTATGGATGCAGGAAAGAGGTCAGGAGAGGATAAAGTTGATTCTTACGTAGTTTTGGTCGCTGAATCCGAGTATCAGCTTTATCCTCTTCTGACCTCTTTCTTGCATTCATGAACTCCTATTGGTACTGGACTATCCATTTTGTGAGGTTTATGAGAGGTCATTCATGTGAAACCAGACCTTGGTCCACAAAAACTTGAAATTGAAACTTTTATACTTTTAAATTTTGAGTTTCAGTACGAACTGTGGCGACTTTGCAAGTTTGCAGCCCTGTTTTTCCTCCTATGAAATCCATTAAAAATATTAATTTTAGTGGGGATAAGCGGTTTGGAAAATGCCTGGAAAGATGGAGGAAAACCAGGGTTTCCAAGTCTTAAGAATCGCCATTAGGCACAATGAAGTATCCTGCGAAAATTTCGGGATTAAAAAGTCAAGTGTCCAATCTTACTGGAACTACTGCGTTTTGAAATTTGAATGATCGTAGTCGTGAGAACACGCTATCTGAAAGTTCATCTATTGACATGACGCATGATGGATGAATCGCGCAACTGTTCGTGCCCGATTATGCGGTGATGCAAATTGCATACCCATCGAATTTTAGGAGTTGCTCATTGATGTTCGCTGACAATGAGCAATATAATCCAACTAATTGTGGGAAAAAATCGCCTTAAAAGTTGTAAAAAATCTTACCATCTCCTAATCCAAGTAAAAATGAAGAAATTCATTGTTCATCGAGACAGTGTTGCTAAGTTGTGATGCGGACAATTTTTGTTGCTGTTTCCCCGAGATTTCGCCTTTACTGTGGCGTAATTTCAGGTAAAGAAACAGAATTTGCACCTTTTACACAATCCAGCAACATTGCCTGGACGATTATTAAAGATATTTTCGTGCCTTTGTGATCATTTATGATTTTTTTTATTTTTATTGCGGATTTTCTACACCTCGAGTAAAAACGCATGTAAGCAGCATGAAGGTTCGTGCCTCAAAAAAAAAAAAAAAAAAAAACCTGTTGCAATTAAACTTTGAAGCGTTTACTAGAGCATCTATACCTTCACGTATTATGCCATAAATGGATAGAAATTCCACTTCATTTTCGCCTTGTTTGTCCTCGTATTTAATATGCTTTTCTTTCGTAAGAAAGTGTCTGAGAGTTTCAAGTAAAATTAGGATTTTGGGAATACGTAAGGAGAATCAATGCTAAAGAGAAGAAAACCACCAAAGATGTGTTAATTAAATTGAATATCAATATTATTAACGGTGTTTTGCGTGGAAATCACGACTCACTCGAAAATGTGGGCGATTGCTGCTGATCCAGAATCCTTTCTCCCGCAATATTTGAGTTACTTCCTTTGATTTTGAAATTCCCGGCAACATCTCCGTGACCCATATCCTGATTTTATCCTTTTCTGGTTTCAAGTAGAGCCACTGCTTATTTCCGGTTCCGCTATTTTCACGAGCCGCCATTGTGGACCACATCTCTCCATCCACGGATAGTCTGTTTGCTGCTAAAATGCGGGGTCCGACAATTATCTAGAATAGAGGAAACAGGAACATCCTAAAATTATTTATTTCGCACATGATTAAGCCAAATTTATTTACGTGACGATTGCGATTCCAATAAAAAAGTGTAATTTTTATAATACCACTGAGAGTATTTAATCTCAAAATTCCAAAGCACCTATAATGAAAGTGGCTCTGTTAAATTTGATCCTTGAATATTTCATTTCGGTGCAGAGTCTCGGCGTTTGTACGGATCAAAATTTTACTGACGATAAGTGATTTATAAACTGGAGCTGTCAAAATTAACCAATATTTAGGATGGAAACAACCAATTCATTTTAAATTTTTTTGGGAGGGGCTAACCAACGGTGCAGATACATTTCAGGCAAGCATATATTTTTAAAATAATGACCTAGTTCAGTCAGAATGCATTTTTTATATTTATTTCTGAAAATTTCATGCTGAACAAAGGCATGAGTATTTGTGAAACGCCGCCTTGGCCGTGAAAGGCTTGACAACCAATATCCGTACATATATTTTGTTGCATTTAGAAACAATTTGGGGTTTGCTCTATACTTGGCACGAATAGCACAGATACTAATATTTACATTTTTGCTAATATGGGGGCATTATTTGTAAAAAGGAAGTGCAGCTTTGCTATGCGGCTCAGACGATGCAGTTTTTTTTTAGAATTTGAAGTAAACCACACAAACTTATGCAATTAATTTTTAAAGAAAAATGAGTAAAAATATTGGGAGGACCCTTACATCGTTTAGTTGCAAAGTAAGCAAAAAACTGCACAATGTGAATAGCACTGCACCGCCGTGCTAAGGTGAAACGCCGTATGAGCATTTGAATGTTGCCAAATTTCCTCCAAGAAAGGATTTATTTTTTAGAAAATTTACGCATTTTTGAAATTTGTATTTATTTTTCCTTGAAATCTTCAGATATTTTACATTGAATTACAAACAGTATCGTCTGTAAAATCAGAAGAAAAATTTAAACAAGTTTCCTAATTAATTAGTATTTTATCAAAGGAATTTTGGCCTGAAGGCTCATACGGCGTTTCTTCATAGCAAGGCATGTGCAGGGCTTATATACGTTATTTGGACGTATTTCTGCCAAACGCAACTATGTGCATTATGACGCGAGCCCTGTTGTCCATATATATTCTAGTAGGTATCAGGGCTCATGTCTTAGTGCACATAGTTCTGTTCGGCAGAAATACGTCCATTTTAACAGAAAATGGCTCAATTTATGTACGATCTCAAAGGTCAAAGGTCCGTTCTTATTTTTAAGAAGTTTCTGCAAATTGTACTGCACCTGGTTAGAGAGGTCGGTGCGGTCCCATAAGGAGGTGTTGAAATTTTGAATGGCCGTGCCGATGACGAACAGCTTTTTTCCTTTGTCCGATGCAATCAAATAGAGGTCGTCCTGAGAGTGCAGTGAGCCCGGGTAGGAGGAGAACAAAAGAGTTCGGCCTGGCGCCAATGCTGACTCAGGACTCCCGGTTCTATGATATCCGAAAGCGTATTTCTTCTGAACGCGTAGCATTCCGCTGTACCTGAGCAGATTTAAATTGGATCATTATTTCTTCACTCATAAATGGTCGTGGAATTAATACATTTTTTTTAATTAATTAGTTTGAGTGAGCTCCCATACAGGAAATGTACAAATGCTTATTGAATAGTTAAGGTGAATATATGGAAAACAGAGCAGCCCGTAACGTTTCTGAAAGAATTTACAAAAAGTAATTTAAATAAATTAAAATTTATATATATATATATATATATAACGTTACATTAATGAAGTTGAATTGACTTTTTTTGGACCTTCAGCAGGGAAGGAGAAATAAATGGGAAAATTTTTTTGTAAGACCCTAACATTTTGAAAAATCATAAATCTTTTCGCAAGAAACGACAAACTACACAAGTCTTCGGTTATTGATGCCAAATAGCTCTGGAATGGTTATTTATTTATTATTTTTTGTTTTAAAAAAATGAAAAATTACACTTATAAAATGGAGGTGTCAAAACATTCTTCTTTTTAAGTTTCAAGAGAAAGTTGTCCTTAAAGATTGATCAATTATCCAGTTGATCTTGAGCTTGGGTGCAACAAAATGATTAATACTGAGGAAATTTTCCCCTTAAATGAAAAAGCTTTGTACTGAATTTAATTAACTTTCAAGGAAGTTCAGGTTGCAAAGATTTTTTTTTTCTTTCTTTCTTTTCTTTTCTTTTTGGAGGCGCATTGCATCTGAGCAACTGATAGTCATCAGATATATGTTTATACATAAAGAGATATTAAAGTCTCCCCAGGAAAAATGTGAAGGGAAAAATTCCCTTCTCTTGAGCTGTTACAGTCTTAGATTGGAAGCCCCTCACAAACGTTTAAACTACAGGGGCCGAATTTTGTCGGTTCTTTCACACGGAGTGCAACATCCATCGAAGAGTCCAAACCGCACCACCGACCAATCAGAAGCGCTAAGCCGGACTTAAGTGCAGCCGAGACTCGTCCTAAGTATATATAAGTACGGTGGATGAACCGACAAAATTCGGCCCCTGATGTACATCTAATGGATGCACTTGACTTATAGATCGAAAACCTGACTTACGATCCAGCTGAAAAATGGCCGAGCACGAACTTGCTCATATCATCCGGAAGTAGTTTGACGATTGCAAGGGCCAAAGACGGTTTCGAGGGATTAAAATCTCGAGAACTGTTGAATTTTTTCTCCAGGTCACGCAGATCTGAGGCTATGTTAATCCATCTGAAAATATAAAACAATTAATGCTCATGTGACAGTTCTTAAGCGATGACAGTGTTCCAGAGTGGCATGAGCAGTGCAACCAGAACTGCGTGATAAGAGAGGCACCAATAACGCTCCCCTTTAGTCTAGCCTATCGAAGCAATGTCTTGCGGTGATTAAATGGGGTTCGCTATTGAAGCAGGGTCTAGATAATTGCTTTCATCTCTCTGTTCACTCATAACGCGCTGTCGCTGGGCAGGAATAGATGTCAGGGTGTTACAATGGATCGTATCTTGAGTCTCGCCGAAAACTCACATTATGTGCTCACACTACTCGTCCAAAGTTTTGCACTGAGCATTAATTTGGGGATACCAAAACAATTCATTCTGTTATTTGTACTACTAGTGCGTGCAAAAATAGTTTTTTAAATTATCACGAGGTAAATAAAAGCACAATACATATGAAGAATACTCTGATAAATGGAAATGTCCTGGTAGATACGTGTCCTCTTTGAATAAATAATGGAATGAAACCTCCTCATGCTAAAATATTTTTCAAACGTTAGTTATAATTTTGAATCTTACAGGAAATCGATGAAGTCCAATTCCTCCACGTTTCTGCTTCTGGCCCTCCTGATTCCAGCCAAGTAACCATACATCAGACCATCCAATTGATCGTAAAATAGTTTTATCTGGTGAAAGAAAAGTAGTAATATTGTACATTTAGCGAAAGCGTTTTCTTCACGCCAAGAGATACAATTTTAAAAGACAAACTATACGGGAGATGATGAAAATTGCAAAGCGGAAAAGCAGAGAAGAAAGTTTGACTCTAAATGGTTAATTGTTGGTTAAAAAGTTAGCAGCGGCCAAATAGGCAGACAAGTATTTGTGATGAAAACCAGTTACCTAACATAAAAACCCTGAAAGTTGAAATTAATGTCATCGAGTAAAATTTTCGTCCGAGGTAAAGATTCAGATGACTCAAATATTTTATATAAATGTGAAAAACCCGTTAAAGTAATCAGTCATTGACTTTAGCTAAGCTTTTACGGGTGACAAGGGGAGAGGGTGAGTGAGAGAGATGGGTATAAGGAGGATCTTCACTAATTGCATTCGAATATTATGATATAAAATGTAATGACGTCAGGCTTTTTTTTTTACCAATTTTCATATTCCTCTTCTTTCATTTGACTTTGAAACCCCGGCCCTAAAAATTACACGTCAGGTTTGCATCAACCCACCCCAGATTAAAATTATCTTTAAAATTTGTTTTGAAAATCTGTAATCGAAAGTTACTTAAAAATAGGGAAAATCCCGACGTCAGATTCGGTTTGACCGATGACCAACCCCCGCCCCCTCACCCATCGTTAGGAATATGAAAGGCTCATCTCCTTCAGGATCATGACGTCATTTATAGACGGTCTCTAGATGAGTCACAGTGACAAAAGATTCACAATTATTTTCAAATTGACTCAAAATTGAGAGGGAAAATTAGTGTGGGAGAAAGACAGAGAGCTGAGTCAATACTCTCACCTCTTTGTAATAGGTTTCTTCAATTATCAAATTTCATAACTGATGTAATACATTTTATAAGTAACTCTGCAATTTTTTTGAGGACAATTAGTATTGTTTCAATAATCCATTCAATCAAAGTTGATGCATACTCATTACTTCTTGATACTTAATGCTCTAGGCGTGCTGTTAATATTTATTTATGAGGAGGCTTTACTCTAGATAGCGCGTCGCATAAGAGGATTTTCGCGAGGGAGACGAAGAAGAAGAGGAAAATTTCTTCAAAAATCAATTCTATTGTTTCCATTTTCTATTACCAACGATTTACGTGGTTTTCCCCCTTCTGTTCTCTTGTGCCGATGTGTGTAAAATCTGTTGAGCGCTTGTAGGTGTGTGTATGCGCATTGATATCTTTTAAGCTGTAGGCAGAACGATTCATTTTTTATTCTTCTCTTAATTGTCTGTACGTGAGATTTTTTAAATTAAAAATTGTATTAAGTAATTTAATACATGAAACAAAACCTGTGCGTATAATAAGCAGAGTAAAATGTTTTAGACGCTAAAATTGAGCAGCTTTGATTTCATCTCTATGTTTTTCCTCTTATAAGAATATACTTACACCTGAATCCTAGAATGTATTAGAAGAATGTTTAGGAGGTAAAAAATGCCTTTCGGAATGGGGGATCTCTTTTAAAAAAATCAATAACTTTGAAATTAAAATATCGATTGAGTATTTATTGGATTGAACGCGTTTAACGATGGACTGTCCAATTTGTTTTACATATCTTATTTCCTGATTTCTTCTATTTAGATATCAGCCACATTTGGAAAGTAAGAAGCCGTGGTATTTAGTAGAAATGATTGAACTATTAGTTCACATGAGAGGCTTGGAGGACAAGACGTATAAGTGCAGTTTTTGAAAAAAATAATATTTTAATGATTTTAAGTTACACTAGTCTTAATGCATGTTCTGTGAAACATTCGCTCCCAAATTCATATTTTTAAACGTCAAACAATACTTTCTCTCTGCCATAAGGATGTTTGTAATTTCGAAACTTCAAACATGTCTTCCTCGAAGCAGCAAAAACTGCACTTATGCGCCTTGTCCTCCAAGCCCCTCACTCCCTTACATACAGGGTTATTCAAAAGTCACGCACCGCTGGCCATAACTTTAGTTCTAATTGGACTACATTTTGCAATTTGGAACTATAAAGTCCGGCTCAGTTTAAAAACAACGTATGTGCCATTAGTTTCCCTCTGCACATGAGTATTTTTACAGATAAGCCAGAATTTATAGGTCCAAGTTGCAAAGTGCAGTCCAATTATGATGTCGATTTGCGGTTCAAGACGTTTTTCCTCATATCGAGGGGGAAACTTTTTAGATACTTTCCAGTTTTTGATCCCCTCGGGGGAAGGGGGAGGGGGGCATTGGGGGCAACTCAAAAATTTCAAATGGCCACCCCCCTCATGGCCAGTGGTGCGTGACTTTAGAATAACCCTGTATCATCTGTTGTAATTTTTTGTACCCGCACCCAAACTTACTCTGGCGCTAATCATTAATTTTTGCTGAGGTCATCAGTTTTTTTTTTGCTGACAACACGAGAACATCCTTTTACCTGGATAAGAGATCCTAATTCATTAGTCTACGTCTAAGGGGAAGGATGAAGGGTTCATTACATTGCAACGGCTAGCCTTTAAAATATTTTACTTAGTGCTATCTACCTGATGCCAAAACGGATCTGTTTTGTGATGTCGAGTGGCCCTCTGTCGGATGTAGTCTGTGTTCTTGGCGAGGGCAGTCCTGATGGTCTCGCAAAAGTCCTCTCGATCGGTGCATGTTTTTTGGACAGTGTTTTGCCAGTGCCAGTAAATCAGTTGCCAGGTGAGACTTCCCTCCAGGTATCCGGCTGCGTAGGCTTGCACGAAATCCGGGTATTCTTTTTGAGTCTCGATTTCCAGCACAGCGAACCTGATTTAGATTAAAACAAAACATTCATTGTGGTGCGATCCCTCAGCATTGCGGTGAAAGATTTGAGCTATAACCAGTCGATAATTGCTAGATTTTTGGGCATATTTTTTAAACAGTCTTCAATGTCACATCACGCTGTAGTTCAACTTGGGTATTCGTACCAAGATTAGATCGAAAAACACCTTCAATGATGAACCTCCAATGAATGGGGACATTTTTTTAAAATGTCCTAAAATACAGAAATTATTATTGAAACAGTTGAATGCTTTCCCTAGGTTCCCACTAAAGATCCACCGTAAGACGTTGAGGTTCTTCTTTGCTGTCAGAGGGTGGTAACATTTTTTTCTAATACATTGAAATGAGTGAATACCGTGTTACTTGCGCAGATCAGAAAAAAATGTTTGGTCGGGAGAGAGAGAGAGAAAAAAAAAAAACAGATTTGAAATATCATCTGCATAGACATGGATCAGTTTCATACATACTTAAGAGTCGCTCTCACAGCGCTCTCCGGCGCTCTGCGACGCCCAACCGCCACAAAAGTCGGTCCTCCTACAGGTCATCAGAGAGTTCAGTTTCAAGAATCAGTTTCAACAGACGCAAAATAGACCACGTTGAGTTAATGTTTTATCATTTGTTCATTAATTTCTTTGCGTTCAGAAATTGTCAATAAAAAATGAAGTAAACTCACCCAGTCTCGGCCATTTTGGATTGATAGTATGCCCTGGCAACGCCTTTTTTGATCGAATCTGGTGCGTTATTCTGTCCAAAATAATCGCATCTGTAACCACTGCCAAGAGTCCAAGATACGGTTGCAGCGTAGTTACGATCTGCTACCGCACTGTGTTAATAAAGGAGAGAGAGAAAAGGGGATTAATTCTCGCAGGAATACGGCCATCAATAGTCACTAATGTATACCGGTATTTCGCTCTCAGGAATAAAACGCCCGCAAATTTTATAGATGCTACACGCTGCACACAACTCGGTAGAGTCATTTATACTGAAGAACTCTAACATTTCCAGCAAGTTAGTTCCTAAATTACTTGTTTATAATGAATACTAGGGCGCTACTCCCCTGACCACTTTGCATTCTAACCCCCCGAAGAACTGCGCGCCTCAGGCGTTATGCGTTACGCGTTACTCTTCTGATTTAAATTAAAGAGAATGATTTACGCAGAAAAGTAGATTTTGGAAGAACCATAGCGTTTGGGAAGAACTATGAGAAGATGCGTGGGTAATTGGGTATGACTTCGGAAAATTTTGGGATTGGAACCAAGCATTTACGAGTAGTAGCAGATTGTGGCTATGGTACAGGGTACATGGTTCAATAGATTTGACAGATTGCGATCTGATAGACAATATTCAATGCTATGATTTGTATTCTTCATTCAAGACTCCAGAGTAATTTTTTATCATAAATAAATAATAATTTCAGCAGCAATTTGTTTTGTTTCGAATTATTTTTTCGCCCAGTTAATTGTTGAGATCAAAAGATTGTTAATGCATTTTCTTCTTTCGTAATAAACCAACAATTCACATCGTGTTATGGAAAAATCGGAAAATATTTTCAGCAATATTTTCATTTTTTAGGAGTACCGTAAGACATTTTGTCTGTATTGAGGAAAAATTTTCACAAACTTTGATGAGAACATAGACGATGATTTCAATGACTAGTTTAAAATAAATCGTTGTGTAATCACCTTGGGCGTCCTCCGCAATATACGGTGATAATTCCTAATACCGCCACACCAGCCAGCAGCCACCAGCTCAGCCGAATTTGATTCCAGGAAGCTCCTACTACCTTCAGCATTGTTCTCCTGTTGAGTGCATTGACTTCGATTAAACATATTGGCTTATGGCGCCTCTCATGACAATAAGTCTCGAATGAAAGGATGATATTTTTTCTATAGTTTTTAAGCGATAATTTCAATTACGACGTGACGCAATCTAATTAATTTTTTTTTCATTCATTCTTTTTGTCGGTTTACATGAAAGAAAACATCGAAGAACCGATTAACTAGGGGTTTTCTATAAATGGCATGAGGAACTTTTTCCGGATTGTTGACTTATCCCTCTCTCTATGTTAGCCCCTTCTCCCTGCCTCTCTCTTACGCACTTAAAGGGATTTATTAAATAGTACTAGACTCACTTTCCCCATGAGTACTCTAATAAGGTATTTATGAACAAGCCCTAAGTTAGGTGAATAGAAAAACACCAGTGCTTTTTAATTGTTTCAAACTTGTTCACTGTTTGTAGAGATAGCCAAAAGTGTATGCAAATCGCAGAAATGATGTCAAAACAAGAGTGTGAGAGTCAGGGTGGCATATTCTTGTCAAATATATAGATGGTTTTCAAGGAGTTCATAAGTCTTGCATGATTTTTTCAAAAATCAATCAATTTTAGAATATTTTGAAAATACGAATCGATGTGATTCAGAGTTTTTCTTGTATTTCACTATTTATTACGTTTCTCAAATTATTTTACTGTCCGAATAGTAAATATGCTGTCATTGTTTTCAAACTTCAAAATTTAGGATGCATGACAATCGAAGCGGGAAAAATCATGAACTAACAATTTTACTATCCACAATTTTACAGACATTTTTGTTTAAAATACACGATGATACTTTTTAAAAAATGTTAAAAAGTCTAAAATTTTTGGACCAAAAGAAACTGAGATATAATAATATTACTATTCGCCTGTAGAAGGTTGATAAAATATCTTATGTGACCATTCGCCGTATCTATCGAGTAAATCAAAAGTTTTTATCTCTTGAGAATGTGCTACATGTCTTACCGTTCGCGTATCGGCTGGGCTCAGAACTTGAGAAAAACGTAGACTGAATTTTAAATTTGATTCCTCTGCCAGTTCCACCAGGCTTTGGATCCACAATTGCTTTCAACCCATTGAATAATGGGGAGGAAAATTGGCCGCTTCAAACCGCCTCCGAACTCCGCTTCACACTACGATCCAATATCTTCTAATCGGCTTCTTCTTTTCTCCTGCAACAGAGAACATTGTGCGTTTCTTTCAATCAGTGGCGAGGCGTGAATGATCGATTGTCGATATTTCCCCGCTTGAAGCTATGGTAAAGAATCGATTATTAAGGTGTTCGTTGCGAACACCGGGTTTATCGATCCATTTCCAAAGGTTTAAATGGCAGATCAATCGATATATCGCAAAGCATATAAAAGCGCATATAAGCTTATAAATGATCGTGAGCTAATGAACTTTAGCAGTAAAATACGAAGACCTGAAAAATTTGCACCATTCCTTGGAATAATAATTCAACTCGTTTCAGGAAAAAAGCACCTGAAAGTATCAAACCTAATCGGAAAAGTGGGTAACGATTGAAGTTCTTGTGTTTTTAAAGTTCTTGCTGAAGTTCTCTTCCAACGGTATACGCTCGTTTTATTTTCGTCTCTTTCCACATTGCTCCTGTAATGAAGCATGGTTCCACTCAGATTTGAGCAGCATTCAATGGAAGGGAACCAACCTGATTTCAGTGTTTTAAAAATCGCGTATCTTGACTTATATCTACAATACGCTTCAAATATCAAACTTTTCTATTTGAAAGTTAGTTTTCATTTTTCATTTTTTTTTTTTTTTTTCAAATAGTTTTACATAGTGCAGAAGAGTCACTCTCACAGCGTTCTCCGGCGCTCTGCGACGCTTAACCGCCACAAAACTCGGTCCTCCCACAGGTCATCAGGGAGTTGCCACTCCCTCATCTCATCCATAACCCCCTGTCGCCGCAACGTTTCACCTGGCTTCCCTTCGTCTCCTCCCAGGAGGAACCCAATCAAGCATCTTTTTTAACAATATTGTAGCATTAATTATATAAAACACAAAGAAAAAGTTCAATGGTTTTGAAAACTCTGTAACTGCGTCGGTTTCTCTCCGCTGAATGCGCAATGCGCATTGGCGGATCCAGAAAATTGGCAACATTGCCTTCTCTCTATTTATAGCAATGGAAATACATCGATTCTTAGAGGGCCAAGTGCTCCGCCAAAAATCGATTATTTAGCGAAGTTTAAATGGAGGAAATCCGGTGTTGCCAAATTGCTGGATCCACCTCTGTGAATGCGATCCATTTGTTCCATAGATATATCTTCAGGGCTAATAATACTAATTTGCCACCGGTGCGGCATACGGTGGCATTTCCACTTATACGGTTTGTTTCATATTTTAATATGTTTAAATGTTTTACTGCAATGTTGAAGACAACTCTATTAATTTAATTTGCGATATTTGTTTTGTTATTTACTCGCGAATCGAATGCGTGATAACCGAGTCAAAAGTTCAATTATCGGCTAAAGCTTCTCCGATAAATTCTGACCGAGAAAACCATGAATTCGTCATACTATGCGCCACGCGCCTCTAACATAGACGATGATCGCAAGACTTGACCGAGACAGATGTAATTTCAGCCCATCTGCATCATCAGCTTATCTATCTGCAACTCATCTTCTCAGCTGGCGAGGCAAATTAAAAAGAAAAAAGAAAAAGAAAGAAAGGAGAGGAAGAAAAACTCGTGTTAATGTTGATCTCACAAAAAAAAAAAAAAAAAAAAAAAAAAAAAAAAATTGCTCATGCCACGAGAAAATGACACTGTATGATATGTTATGAGAGAGAATTAGTGCTACGGTATACAAAAAAATATTAATTACCTGATGATGTTGGCTACACTTTGATTGAAATTTGGTAAAAATTCAGGAACTTTGATTGTTAAAAACAAACATTACGAATTTAGATACAAATCCCCTTAATTTTATTAACACTTTGATTGCATTTTGAGGATATTGCGAGCTAATTAGATTTAATCTTAACCGCAGTTACAAAGATTAGTAAACATTTGTAAAAGTTTGTAAACTTAAGAAATTAACTCTGCATAATTTTCAAGAAACTATGAATTTTGAGGATTTTAAAACTTATTTGATGAAAATTTTGTTAAAGTTCGACGAAGTTTACTTTAAAACGTCTAGTGAGATGTCCAATTATGGTAATGGTGGAGAACACAGGAACTGCGGAAAATATTTTAAACGAAACGGGAAACGCTGATTTCATAAAATAAGAAAAATATGTTTTAGTCAGAGACGAGCCTCAAATATTAATTAACCAGGTAATCAGCTGATCGCGAGAAATTAGCAGCCGCGTTAATGTGAGGACGGTTTCATACACAACTAGACTGACACCCAAATTTTATAGTATGGATGGATGAATGAGTGAATTTGCATATTCATTTTGCGGCTTCAAAATCGTTGAAAAAATACGTGATATGTTTCTCTGAATTCTTCAACGTGTAACCATGGTAAAAAAAACTTGTTCATTTAGCTACAAATGTAAAGAAATATGCAGACTAAGTTGCATACCTCCTCATTAATATGCGGATAATGATACAAGCAGAATATATTAAATGAACGGTTTTTTTAGCTTCAATTTTTTAACACGCTGTTTTTTTGTTGTTGCTATTTTCATTCATATTTGAGTTAATTGGCAGTTTCCTTAACTGATTATCGATGCCGATCCAGGAAATCAGCGTAAGAGTGTTAAGCATAGCATTACATACAGTATTACAGAATATTTAATCTTAGATGATGATGTGTCGAAAACAGTTCAAAATGAACTTATGTTCTATATTTTGTAATGATATGCCAAAAGACTGTAAAGTCACTTACCATGAATAAATATAACTGTTTCCGTGCACGGAAATAAGATGCAGTGCGAATTACCCGATATTTTGCTGATAAAAATAGAGGTCAAACTTAAGGAAATACAATTATTTTCATCAAAAATGTTTCCAATTTTGAGAAAATATTCATATAATTCTAATTGTAAGTAAAAAAATTCAAATCCGAGTCGCTATTTTCATTTTAAGATAACGGCACATTTTATGATGTGCAGTGTGCAATTAATGGGACCTTGAAAGGAAGGTTGACAAGAAATAGTAAAACAATAATACTTGAAATGATCGGTATTTTTCTTTTATTGATGACCAAGATAAGAATGTGTTTAGTTTCCTCCAGTCGCAATTCATTATACGCATCTTGACCTATATTTCATTGTAAACATAATCCTCTTCCCCTTATTTAAAATTCATCCTGACAGCGACAGCCATCTAAACTAAACGCAGGTGCGCACAGAGAACGGGTACGCCCCTATGGTTAACGCAGTGTAACATAAGATTGAAGCTGTTGTGCGTAATGCTGCGTTATGCAATGGATTTTTAATAGTTTTCGTACTTTTTTCACTTTTCAATCAATGATTTAATGTTTACTATTTGCAATTCCCTCCTCTCTATCTCACTGTCAAATCATATAGATTTACTCTGTCTAAAAAACAACACATTTCATTTGACAAATTAACTAACTTTTTTGAAGACAACTAGATGCTTCAGATCGCTACGCTCGCTTGCGCCGCTAGCCGGGGGCATCACCTCCCCAATGGGCCCAATGGGAAATGGGGGTGAGGGAGCTGGGATTATCCAATTATTGAAGCAGGGTCAACGATACATGCATTGGTTGGGTGAATGAAGAACCATGAAAATGCAGAGTACTCGTAATTTATAAACGGCCCCCACCATACGCGTTCCATATGATAAATCTGACCCTGGTATACGAGTGTCTGAATTGCACCTTTTTCTGCTTCAACATAATCAATTGATGTGCTTAAGTCCGCTCTTGTCATGACAAAGCGAGAAACGCAAAACTTTTCGAAAAATTGAAATTTCAAGTTCACGTGACACCCTTCAAACAGGTTTCTCGATTGCAGTACTTTCAAAATTCTGCTAACCGTATCACTACAAAAAGAGAACACTCTAAAACTGTAGTCCCAGACGAATTGAAAATGAAATGTATTCGATTTATCTTTCCGTCATTTGAGACACGTGTTTATCTGGTGCGATCGTTAAAAGCCTTATTCCCGTGCCTGGCGCTACGCTAACTTAAAATATACTCTAAAATGTAATCTCCTGGTGCAAATCAGTATAGGTATCTTTCGGGATTGAAAGTTGGATCAGACTAGCACGTGTTAGCACTATGCCTCGCTTGGTCTCATTTCAAAACCACGTTATATAGCTTCTCGAAAACGCGATTATACGTGCGCGCAGACGTCTATGGCGCGCGCGCGTCATCGAGCGAATTCCGCGTCGATCTCTTGCGATTTTTGCGTTACAAGTTGAAAAGCTCTCTGATCCGCAGTGATTGACGACGACTGCTGCCGATAAATTGGAGATCAGGACATTGTAGCATAAAGCACGCAACACGAGTCATTCACATATGTATTTACACTCCACTTGACTTCGATTCCGAGGTCTAACGCAGCTTTTCTTCCTCTTGTAATTCGTGAGATAATCCTCAGTTCAAGATCCTTGCTCGTATTTTTGTTTTTGTTTTCCCTCTATTTTTTATAGAAAAAAAGTGGCAATATTGACAACTGGGAGCAAATTCTTAAGATGAGAGTTGGCAGTATGTACAACTGTCGTTATCTTGAAGTTTAAATCCGAAATCGTCTGAAGTCTGAGCGATCCTTCAATGGGGATGATGATTGGAGGACAAAATGACTCCCAAAAGAAATTAAAAATGATTGAAGTACCTACAATTGTCAATTTTTGACATCGTTGGGACTTTGTTTTTCCAGACTCGCTCAACTGCACGAAGTTCCTCATAGAATGTAATTTGCGTAACAATGAATTCCTCACCTACACTGTTTTCGCCTAAGGAACTATTCACCCACTCGTTTTCACCTAAGACTTTTAAGCCGCGGGTATACACCCACGACCCTTTTAACCTATGTGTTTTGTTTTATCTCCAAGCGCTTTCATCAAGTTGCAAATTGGAATTAAGTTAGACTTTAACACTGTTATAGCGGTGTTACTTGAGGTCGCTCCTAGATCTGTTAAGTTGAAATTTAAAAAAAAAAAAAAAAAAGAAGATGAGCCTTAAAAATACTTCTCACCGTTGCTAAACTTGGCTCATGTGACACTTCTCCCATCAGACATGGC